AAAGTTGAGGGAAGTGATTCAAACAGTGTTGCACAAGCCATTTTTCAGGGATCAAATTTTGTTGATTTGATAAGGAACATTTTTGTTTAGTGCACTTGATTCTGAATGATGATTTATATCTAAGACCCAATTGTGGTGTTAAGAGTGTGACTGTGAAGTGAGTTTTTTCCCCTTAAAGTCTGAGGAGTTTGTTTTGTGCACTAAAAGAAGTTCAAAGAGCAGAGATACATATATTACTACTAGGAGTGTGTAGGCTACACATCCTAGTAGACTGTGTTAAGTGTGGGACCTGGTACCATTCCATTTTTACACACTTCCTGGGAAGAGACTGACTTTCTGACATACTGTAATGTAAAGCTCTTGTACTCATCTGTTTTTTTCTTTGATTTTTCTTAAAATCTTTACTGTATGTTCTGTTTGTTACAAATTCTGTTGTATACTGATTCTAGCCCAATTTAGCAGAATTTAAAGGGGGTGTAGGCTATGTAACAGAGTTTAAATAATGTTAGTTAAATTCATGCATCAGTTGGGAAAACTTGCCATTGGTTGTTGCACTGCTGCAATCGCGTTCATTATATTAGGGGGCAGTGCTATGTAATCGGCAGCAGTCTCATCATGAAGCCTCGCTGCTGGTAAGCTGCTTTAATGATTGCTCTGTCTTATTAACTGAGTTTGGATTGTTTTCAAGCACAAAGCTGAACTTTTATGGTACACAAGAATATTTTTTTGACTGTCGACTCCTAGTTCTGTTAATAGTGTCAAATATGTGTTTTTTGACGATAAAACAAAAGAGTGTGTGTATTAGTCTGCTTGTAAACTCTGAACCTCTGTTTATTTCATTTAAGACTGTGATGTGTCATCATTGAGCTGCAATCTAACCAACCTATGGTCCTGTTTGTCCCAGGTATGTGTTTTATTCGTTTTTTGTCGTGTTCTGTGTGTAAGTCGTTAGCCGCTAGCATTAGCACACGTGTTTACAGTTTCACTGCATTAATGTGATTTAATGAGAATTGAGAAGAAAAGGTACAATTTTATATTTTATTTTCTCTTATGTATGTTTTATTGATTTATGTCCACTATATGTTCACGTTCACTCAGATAAAATGTAATCTGCAGCAGTTTCATGAAGCCTCGCTGCTGACTGTCATGTGTCATCATTGAGCTGCAATCTAACCAACCTATGGTCCTGTTTGTCCTAGTTGTGTCTGTGCAGGACAATAAAAAGAAGCCTTGAGTGACCACACACCCGACTCCGTGTTCATCATTCCACCAACACAGTCACACACACACACACACACACACACATAAAGGTGCATCTCAATAAATTAGAATGTCGTGGAAAAGTTCATTTATTTCAGTAATTCAACTCAAATTGTGAAACTCGTGTATTAAATAAGTTCAATGCACACAGACTGAAGTAGTTTAAGTCTTTGGTTCTTTTAATTGTGATGATTTTGGCTCACATTTAACAAAAACCCACCAATTCACTATCTTGCTTCGTGTTTACAAAATGGCATCAACATCCGTTTATGTCACAATGTCGTTTAACAAACTTTAGCCACGAAAATCTGCCCTTAGCGACTTCACCTGAAAATTTATTAATTTGCAACACGGCTTGCGCCATTAGCGGACGCAGCCCCGAGCTAGCTAAGAGAGCTGGAGGCCCGGCCGCGTACGGTGCTGCAGCCGGAAGGTGAAAGGCTGTGCCGGGAAGCGAGTGAGGCTTTGCTGCGGTAAGATCTGGGGTGCGGCCTAGGCTCGTTGAAGGCCTACTGCCACTGCAACCCAGCGCTTGAGGACAGCCGGGTCGTGTGTGGGATGATGATGGTGTCGAGAGAGGCGAGCTCGGGGCTTTGCGCGGTCTATTGGCCAGAGCGTGTAGCTGGTCGAGAAGAGCAGCGGCTACGATGAAGCAAAATATCCATGTTCTTAAAATTAGAATGTCTGATCAAATTATTATACCCGATCAGACCTGACATAAGTCAAGTCAAGTCAAGTCACCTTTATTTATATAGCGCTTTGATCTATCCTATCCGAATGAAAGTATTCCTATCATTTTAAATAATCAGAATTTATCTGTGACAAAGGGTTCTAAAAATATGGCTTCTTATAAAAAATGGTTCTCATGGCTCAGTTTGCCACGGATTAGGGGTAAGTTGACCCGAGTCGAGTCAGTGGGTAAGATGCACCATCTGGGTGTAAAA